CAATTTCCCTCAGTGAACACTTTATCACTATTGAACAATAGTGACCTGGCAGGTTTTGAAAATACTGTATAAAAGAAAAATAAATTTACTCTCAAGAGGAACTAGTTTATCCCTAAAGAATTCCAGCTGGTAGAAATGTATGAGATAGAAACTTCTGAATAGTAAATCCTCACTGCTCTGTGTGACCTTGGGTGAATTACTCAAACTTGCTCAATCTCAGCTTCTTCACTGATAAAAATGAGGATATTCTGTCCTAACAAAAATAAGACTGTGAGAATAAAATGACATATACTGGCATTTATCAAATGTTAATTCCTTTCCTTTCCACTTGAAGAAATTATCCCTTATGTCTATAAAGGTTGAAATCTTTCTCTGGGGGAAAAAAAGGGAAATTTTCTGTGTGTATATAATATGACACTACCATTATGAACTGAGCAATTCTCAAACTTTTTAGAACTTTAGTATATCACACCAAATTTGTTAATAGCAAATGTTATTTAGAAGTCACTTTCATTTTATATTGAGATACAAATTAATAATTTATTCAGACTGATTTTTCTCTTTGATTCCTTACTTGGCAAAAACCTTGAAGAGAACCTCTAAAGCTCTAGCTATAGAGTGGAACTACTTTAAAAGTCCTTCTAAAACTGTAAAAACATGCTACATGTAGTACTTTTTTCATACACTGGCCAATTAATATTACTGATAAATGTGCAACTGTAACTGAAGTCTCAATATTTAATAAATATTTAATAAAGAGAATATTCTCCAGCTAATCATCAGAAACTAAAATTTCCGCCAAACCTGACCTTTACATAACTGGACTGTATAAGGAAGGCTGACAATGTAATTTACTCTTGGGTCATTACTATTAACTCTAACCATTCAGGAAATGAGTCATTTGATTCATTAAACAAAATATCTGCAGTAACATCTTTGCATTTTAGAGCATTACTGACATTGACAGCAAAAGGACTGTTGATTTCTTCCTTCTCTTAGTGTCTGAATCATTAATAATTATCAAACATTTTCTATAATTGAGAGCATAGATCCTCTCATAAGTACTCAGAGAGGGAAAATACCTTAATATTCGAATGACTGACCTCTCCAATTATGTATGAGATGTTCAATAGTTATCTGACGAATGGAATAATAAAAACGGATAAATAACACTTGGTTTTCCTACAGCTTAATGGTCACATGCATAAAAACTCACAAAATCCAAGTCTAAAATAAACGCACATAAGCAAAATTAAAAAAGAAATCATTTTCTTAAATTATCTTTTATACCACAGGGAAAAATATTACCAGTCCTGGGAATTTTTAGTATCTGGTGAACATAAGAGAGAATAGTAAGTTCGAAAAGAAAATAACCCTGGCTTATATAATTTATATATTTCTAAAGAAAAGGTAGAGCAAAATAATAATAAAAGTAACACTTACACACAAAGGTCTCTACATGTGTGCACAAGTCGCCACATTTAGGACAGCGCAGCTGGTTTCCACCTTTCCCAGAATTCCCAGAGCTTGATTTCTTACTGCTTCCCTCACTTGCTGATTTCTAATGTTTTTGGAGGAGGAAAAAAAAAATGTTGATTACTACTTTCAGGCAATCATTTGATCTGTAACTTAAATATAAATGATATAGTTTATAATTAATGTTTTAAGTTTTACAATTTCTAGAATGGAATTATTAGTATAATTTATACATTTATTATCACTGGTGTCAAAAAGACATATTTACCACAAAAGTAAAATGTTCTAGTAAACATGTACATTTATCTGTATTCCTCCTTTACATGGTAAGTGCCAGCATGTATAACAGCACTCTCCAACCTCTTTGGCACCAAGGACCAGCGCTCCTATGAGAATCTAATGCCTGATGATCTTAGGTGGAGCTGAGGCAGTGATGCTAGTGCTGGGGAGCAGCTGCAAATACATATGAAGCTTTGCTCACTCTCATCTCACCTCCTGCTATGCGGCCCGGTTCCTAACAGGCCCAGGGAGTAGGGATCCCTGATGTATAATAAATAGTTTTCTTTCAATGACTCAATAAGAACTAGGAAAAAAACTACTATAAATAAAAAACCACATTGCAATGAAATTGAATTGGGAGTTATTATAGTGGTAAGTAATGACTCTTAACTTTCTTGAATCTAACTTTTTTCAGCTCTAAAATGATGATAATATCACCTACTTCAGAGAGTCATTGTTAAGATTAAGTATGGATATGAAAGCACTGAGCATTTTATCTCACATAATATTAACTAGTGTTAGTCAAATTCACATAATAAAAAAATAATCCACTGACCTAATAATAATCACTATCCATCTACTTGTAAGTTACAGAGCAGCTCAACACTAAGTCATAGCCAAGATTTTTAGGTAGCATATGAAACGAGGTTTATACTATCTTGAGTTATAAGAGTTGTATGAAAGCAGGAAATGTTGGCTATTTCTTATTCAACCCTATAGAATGACTACATAGATTACATAATGAAGCTTCATTACTACTGTGGGATGTTAAAACATTTAATTACTGCTTACTAAGTGCAATGCTTATAAAACTATTTTATGGTTCAAACTGAAATACAAAATAAAATTACATAAAATTCTTCAGAACATTTTATATATTTCACATTTCCTACAGAAAACATAAGAGTACTATTATTATAATTTTTTAAAGGAGGGAACTCAAATATGCATATAGATGCCAATAAAGACATAAGACCTTATTTCCATCTCCGGAGCCATCTTTACTTATCCCATCTTTTGAGGCAAAGTATGCTGGTGTTTCTGTAAAGGTTCTAAAAGGAGCTCTTCTTAGAATCTGAGTTTCAAAGGTCCCAAGCCTTCCTAATACAGGTATATGAATGCGACAAGAAATACCTGAAAATACAATGACATTTATTAGCCTACACGTCAAACACTAACATGCTTTCAACAAATTCTCTACAAACAAAAATTCCTTAGGCATAAAGTAGGCTGAAAAAGCTACAGTTTTCACAATAGTAATACAAACTGGTAGAGAAAATAGTGATACCATCAGAGGCAGAGCCCTCTCAAAAATAGGCCAGACCTGGGCCTTGGACAGATTCCAGGTGAATAGAGATGTTTCTTTTCTTTCCAGCCCTGTTCTTTGGAAGTAGAAAGTGAAGACCACCCAGGTCATAACAATGAGTGGCTTTTTCGAAGTTTGAGATATGCAGTTCAACACGCCTCATCTGCAGGGGCAAAAGGCCATTCATGTCCTATATTCTTATTCTTCTTATATCTACCAATGAGAATAAGCAATTGACATGAACTCTTGTGTCTTTGGTTATACAGGGGTAATATCCTCAACAATGGAAACAAACATCAAATGTTGTTTAAAAAGTTATGTGCTGTTCATATTTGATGTTAAAATTCTTAAAAAGAATAGAGATTATTTTGCAAACTTTTTCTGTAAAGGACACGGATAGTAAATATGTTCAGTTTTCTGAGCCACATCTCAGCTTTGTGGCTCCTGTAGTCTCAGTCCCAACTATGCCTGTAACGTCAGAGCAAAAGTAAACAACATATAAACAAATGAGTGTGGCCAGATTTGGTCCATGGGGTCATTGTTTGCTGCCCCCTGGTTTTTCTCATATAAATAAACCCCAAAATAAGTTACAGGCAATGGCAAAAGAGCCATACTGCATGCTGTGAGCCAGCTTTAAGAATGTTCCCTACATAAGAAAATTAAATGGTCCCAGGTTAAACAAAATTCCATAGATTTCAGAACCTTGCATAATGAATCATCAAGAAGTTTCCCAGCAGTTTACCCGAGTGCTGTTAGGAGGTAATAAAGTAAATAAAGAAGGAGGGTGGGGGGGATTAATGTTAATATTTAAATGAATTTAAGCAACTGATTTTTGCCTTCCTCATTTTATTCCTTGCAAAATTCTCAATTCAGGCTTTAAACTTTTATTTCTACACCTGTAAGGGCTTTTAAGAGATCATGCACACATGTATGTATTTATCCAAATGCAAAAACTGGTTTAAAATGATGTCCTTTAAACAAGTCAAAAACAATTACTTCATTATATAACTGACTGGTTTTATTAATTCCAATTTTCCAACAGCACACACTGTTAGCACAACTAATTTCTTTATCATCCTAGGCCATCTGCTCCACAAAGCACAAAAATGAACCCACCAAATTCTCTGGGAAAGATACAAGTAAGAGGAACCAAATTTTCTCATCTCTATATAAATTCACGAAGAACACCAAAATGGATTAAGGTTTATCACACCCCAGGCCCTATTCCATAGTCTGTAAAATTTTGATTAACATTAAATTTGAATATTAATAATATAAAAATACATTTTGATGTTTTCCTTCTAAGTAATGTTTTCAAAAGACATTTCAAATTTCTCGTGTTAACATTTCCATTTTTCAAAGTAAATGACAATAACCATTATACTCTCAATAGAATGAGATTTAAGGCAGTTCATAAATTTTAAGCTAAACATTAATGTTTTTCCAAGGACATATGATTTAAAGACTATAACAATCCAAAAGGCAAGTCTAGAAAAAGTAATGGGGAGAGGGATAGATGAGATCAAGAACGCAGAAAGTTAATGGACATTAAGGCTGTTTGGTGGTTCACTGTTTTATTTTGTGTTTGAAAAAGTCCAAAGTTAGTTAATATGAAAAACAGCAAAACAAAATTATAATCTATGTAACAAGTATAATGTTTTAATTGAGCCATTACAATATATTCACAAAGAAAACTACAATTATAACAAAATTATGTAAGGCTATTTGTACTTGGATGTTTAGAACAAAACAACCCTGAAGTATCACATACAGTATATCATTTCCCACTTACAAGAAAACAGGCATTTTAAGTGTTTAACAATTTACAATATCTAATATTATTAGAAAATAATCTGAAAGGAAATTATCTAAAGTCTACCCGTATAGAAAGAAAAATAAATCCTTCCTTTCATATAACTTATCAAGTAACAATATGAAACCAATGCAACCATACAGTCATCACAGAAAATACTATCTGGAAAACATGCTTACACTTCTAAATTTAGGAGTTTCTTTGCTGCTCCTGATGGTATGGTACTGCAGCATTGTTTTAACATTCTATAATCTATAGGCTATACCAACAACTAAATCCACAGTTCTCAAACTTGAGTGTGCAGTGGAATCATCTGGAAAGCTTGTTAAAACACAGATTGCAGGGGATCTTCCCTGGTTCTGACTCAGAAGGTCTGAGGTAGGACCCAAAAATGCATTTCTGACAAGTTCCCAGGTGATGCTGATGTTGCTAATCTCCTCATACTTTTATACCACTGTACTAAACAATTTAAATAATCACTCACCAATTGTATAAATCTTCAAAGAAATCAATGCAGCAAGCTAATCATGAGTTTTTAACCTTTTTTGAGCCATGAACCCCTTTGGTAGTCTGGTAAAGTCTGTGGACAAGCCCCTTCTCAGAATAATGTTTTCAAATGTATAGAATAAAATATCTAACAAAGGAAACCAATTATACTGTAGTTATATTTTAAAAATATTTTTCTTCACTAACAAAATTAAATATGATCTAATAGCTCTTTTATTATCATAATTTCAAAGTAGTGAAAATTATATACCAACAGTATTTTGAGATATCTGCAACTGTAATGTGATATGAAAATACGTGGTGACAAATTCAGATACTGCTAATACTACTGTGGTTGTTGTTTAACTTCGGAATTGAAAGAAATGCTATATTTCACTTAAAGATTAGTGAAAATAAAGTTCACAGAACCCTGAATTTTATCCCTGACCCTTTGAAGGCCTGTGAACCCAAAGAGAAAAAACCCTAAAAGACAAAAAGGGAAGTATTTCTGTAAAGTATATTTTGAAAGACTATTTGGCAGCAATGACAGATGACAGTTAAAAAGGTAAATCATGTACAAAACTTTTGTCATACAGTTTTCTGAATTTCAGAGCGGGTGTTTTTAAAAAGAAATAGAATAAGGTACGCTGATTTTAGGGCTATTAAGGAGAGTTATTTATTCAATTTTTAAATATTTGATTGCCCATATTCAATTTTGAATTAAGCATTCTCCAAAAACATACAAATGATTCAGCTTAAAATATAAATCGATCTTTAATTTATATTTTAGAAATAGAGTGAAAGAACTAACAAAAAATTTTAAGTTATTTGCGGTGGCAATAAGTGCACAACAATTGATGAAATGGCAAATCAAATTAAATGCTCACTTAAACACCTAGCCTCTAACCTCTAACAAATTGGGGGAAAAATTTAAACAAAACCAATGCCGGCAAATTAGTAGATGCTTATTGCTTTTATTAGTCTCAAAATTTCATTTTATGCCCAAGTTATTGTTTCATGAATTAAGAAGTATTCTTAATAAAGAAAAATAACATTACTCTGATAATAGCTTTCCTTAAGTTTAAAAATATTTGATGGGTTTTCACTAAGTCCAGTCTGCTAGTCTGAAGATGAATATGCCAAAAGAAAGAAATGTTGATTAAGAAATAATTTGCAATAAAGATGCTATATTATTTATTAGCTTTAAACTGTATTGTATTTAACTACCAAAAGAAACAGAGAATTAAAATTAAAATCTAGATATATTATGTAACTATCATGAAAACTATGGACAACATGTTTGAGCATCTTCACATCTTCATTACACCCTCACGAAGTGACACCTTTCAATAGACAAGGACAGAAGGCAGCTAGAAATCAAGGCAGTTACCAGTGATCCCGCGATTCTCACGAATTCAGACCAAATACTGTCATTCAGATTCTTTTAAATGGAATCAAGCATTTCTGAATACACATATTTAGAAAGCAAATTGAAATATATACAAAGTACATTTTTAAAAATACACATTAAAATAGAAAAAGACCAGCAATTTGAGTAGAAAAAATATTTAAAATTTCTACTTTACTATAGGTTTCATGTTAAAAAAGACTGAGGAAAAACACATTAAATTGGATACATATAGCCCAAAAGGAAAAGAAATAGATCCAGTATCTAGTATAATTTACTAAATAATTTTTCAAACTATCATAAAATTTTTAGTCTTACATGACAGAGTAATGCAAAGAACAGCACTGTACTTCAGAGAAGCTCTGAAATGTCCTCTTTTATTAACTAATTTTATAACTTGTTAGAAGACTATTTCGATCAAGTTCTCATTTATGTTGTTAAAATTCTTTACTCTTTATAATAATAATAAACCAGCTAAAGTTCAATTCTGATTTTTCTTTCGCCTCTCTTCCTCATCCCAGGAGTCCTAAATAAAAATAATCCTCCTGGAGTTTTTTAAATCCTTAAACAGCTCTACATTTTTGTAGACTTTTAGAATTTCTACTATGGAAAATAAATGTTTTATGTAATTAAGCCTTGGGAAAGTCTTAAGTCAATGTGAAAACCATTTGTTGTTATATGAAAATAAATTCTATAATGATCTTTGGTAATGTCTCACATTTTAACTTGCTCCTTTACAGTGAAAACAATAGCTTTGTATTTCTGAAAACCTCTGGCAAACTTATATTTACTGATAAATATATAATTCCTAAATAAGTCATTAATTTGTTAACTTATCTAATGATATATTTAACTTTTAAAGCAGTGGTTGTTTTGAAAAGAAAAAAAATAACTGCACATTTCCTATGATTCATAGTTTTCAGGGACAATTGATTGGAACACATGAAGAACTTCGTTAAATAAGTCTTCCCTATCCAAAGAACATACATACTTTATCCACTCCTAAAAAACAATATTTTCTACTCCACTAGTTTTAACTTGAAGGTGAGGATTTGTTCACCACTATCTCCAGCACCGAAACAAAGGCTGGCATATAGCAGGCCCTCAACAAGTATATGTCAAATAAATAAACTTAAATGTCACTTTCAAGCGTTTACAAGTCAAATTCCTGGAAAAGGACATCGATTTGTTCAGGTTTATCAAGGTCTTGAGAATAAAATCACTCCTTTTACATTTATATGTCATTTAACAAAATGCTTTTGCCCACATTACTTCATTGTATCCCCCTTTGTGAAATAAACTCGGAAATATACATTTAGTAAACAATAAAAATTTTATAATTAACCTAAAAAGTAGTAAAACGGAGCTTTAAAAAATTTATCCAAGGGTCATAAGCCGACAAACCAAAATAAAACGAATTTGTCACGTAGTTAGTGATTATAACAAGCTCTAGCCTCGTAGTCTGACATAGATTTGGGAAAGAGAAAAAAATGGTTTCTTTTCCGGAACCTCTTGGCTGGAGTGCCACTTTCACAGCTCCTGATTAATAGAAAGGAAAGGTAAACAAGCGCCACCCTTAAGAAGCTATCTCGGACCGTCCAGTTGGAAAAACCGGCAAACAACTGCTGAGACACCTAAGTACTTAAAAACAGTTTCTGCAGGAATTCCCTCAATCTCCCTGCCGCTTTCCTGAGGACCCGGAGGTCTTCCCGGCGCCAGGGAGTATTGTGAGCCCTGTTTATGTCCTGGTGTAAGCGGCCGCACAATGACAGTGACACCGCGGGTCTCGCGCGGCCTGAGCCCGGAACGGCTTGCTCGGCGCCCCGCGGCCCCAACAGTGGCAGCCCTTCACTCGAGCCCTCCTCTGAAACCCCAACAGGCTTGAGGGGTACACGGCCGGGTTCCGGAAGAGGAGCTGCAGCCGGGGCAGGCGGCAGTCCCTGGCGGAGTTCTGAGTAAGGTCTGGGAACATTTTTAACTAAAGGAGAAGCATTTTATAACTGTCAGGGTTTCTAAGTGGCCATATTACGGCCCCAAAGTCAGGAAGCCTGAAGCGTGCGGGCGGGGAAGCACAGGGGTTTGCTTCAAATTTGAAAAACAGCTGCTCCAAAGGTTGGCAGAGCCCCATCCTACAGGAAGGGTAAGGTGGTGCCAGGCGAAGCGCCGTGCATCCTCTCACACCCTCGTGGTGGGGTAGGCCTCTTGCTCTCCCCGGGGTCCCCACCGTGGGTATAGTCCTGTACCAATGACCCAGGTGAGGGACTACTTCGTTACCTCTCTGCGCGGAGGCGAGCGAGGAAGTGATGAGCCGCGCAGCGACCGCTCCGCAACTACAAGCGCCGCAACCGGACATCTCCGCGGGGCCTAGGCCGGGGCTTCGCCCCCTGCTGCCCTCCGAGTCTCAGCAGTCCGACTCCTACTCAAAAGGAGCGCTGAATTGGCTCCAGAACCTCCCGCCTACCCTAGGCCCAGTGCAGAGTTCACCTGTCCGGTGGCTAGGCCTTCGCACTCTTCGTGCCCCACTGTCGTCTGCCCAATACAGCAGACACCTAACCCCGTTCCCTCCCTCCCCTCCTCCGCGTTCTTCCCCCCCCGCCCCACCCCCGTCTACCCGGCCCGGAGAGCGTGCGCGCGCCTGCGTTCTAGGCTTATGGATGGGGCGTGGGCGCGCATTGCGTGTGCGTACGTGAGACGCCGTCGTACAGCGAGGGGAAGGGGGCGGTGACCTGGGAGCCAATGAGCGCGCTACGGCGGTGGCTGGCCCTAACTGTAGGAACTACCAGTCCCGACACGCAATTCTTCCGGGAGCCCCTTTTTCTTAGCCTTGAGGAATTTGAGACGGACACGGAGCGATGCAACCCGGGAGTTGTAGTCCTAACTCGTTTAAGTAAAGTCCTGGTCTTTTTCGATTGATGGCAGGGAGTATGGAAGTGAGACCGGTGGCTTAGCTGGCCCCACGTGGAGTTTTTAAAGGCCTTCGGCTTTTGCTAGATTCTTCAGCTTTAGTAAGTTCCTACCCGCAGGGATTCCACATCCTGTGTTCCTCGTCTTATCCTTTGTTTCCTCACTTTTATCACGAAAGTGGTATTTTTAACTAGCTCCCCTAGTAACTCTTGGATGACAGCTCTCTTGTTTTTTCAAACGAGTGATAACTCTCTCAGCTGTTGCTAGTCCCTGGGTGCTTTACAATCCTTTGTAGGGTCCCTTAAACTTGATCACACTGGTAAATAGTTCCTTCCTTAAACTCTCCTGTTACTCTTTGAGCCTTCTGACTGCGTGGCTGGTCCCTCTCCAGAGAGCTAAAGCAGATTGACCCCTGTACAAGGTGGGGGATGGTGACGAATTAATCAGATTCTTTATCCATCTGGGTTGCCCCCAAACTGAGTATTTACTTCGTATGTTAAGATCCTGATTAACTCCAAATTCTAGAGAAATTGCCAGGTGAGCTTGGATGCCTCTAGTTCTGAGCTTGGGGTAACCGGGGCAAAAGAGGAGCAAGCTAGAGTCAAGACTAGGTCACACAATTTATTTAGCCCTCATCAGTGTTGGATCAGAGAAATGTAGCTTCTAGTTCCCTGGGTCTGATCCTCTGAAGAGACATCGATTGGCCTTGACCCGGGCCATGTGTGTTGGGCGTGTTGTGTTTTTATGTCTGGGGGAACTGACTCTTGGTACTTCCTCAATTTAAAGTGGCAGGCATCAGAAGGAGCCCAGATCTTCCTCAGCTGCCTCCATTAATAGAATTTTGGGAAAAGAGAGACTAAAATTCCCTTAATCCTGTGATTTCTTTTTTCCTCCCCCACTCTTAAATCCTTCTGCTCCCTTCACTCCCTGACCTATGGATGTTGCTGTTTACCCTTAAGAACTGGATCTCTGAAGGCAGCGTGTCTCCTCCCACACGCTCTGGGTGTGCACCGGGCCCTGGGTATGGTCTATGGTGGTCCGTGGATCCACCTGGGGTACAAACCCAGAACTTTCTGCATGTAAAGCAGGCGTGCTAACCACTACACTATGGAGCCACTTCCTTAATTCCATGTTTTCAAACTGTGTTAGTAGAATCCCTCAGAAGCTATAGTTCTGTGGTGGAAGTGAGGGAGTCTAACAGGGTGGACCTCCCCTGTCTCCTCTTCCATGCCACCTCAAAGTCAATCAGAGCAGCTCTGCTTTTGTTTCAGTTATTGGTGTTTTGTTTGAAAATAGAGTTTTGCTTTAAAACAGCGTTTGAAAACCATTGATTTTAGGACAAACCTCTCCTTTTAGCAATGACCTAAGCAGGGCACTTGGACTCTAACACCCAATTTAAATATTCATCCCATCCTAACTTTATTTCAATTATATGCACATTTTCTTCTTACAGAAATAAAGAAGTTGCTTGCCAAAATCTATAGATTGCTATCCTTCTGATGCCTGCCACTTTAAATTGAGGAAGTACCAGTATTCGGTGAAGCCTTCCCTTTCTCTGTCTATTCTAAGGGCTTGACTTCTCATTTATTCAGTCAACAAATATTTATTGAACACCAATTACATGCCAGGCACCAAGGAAATAAAACTGAACCAAAAAACTTTTTTTTTCTCATGGAGCTTCCATTCTAGTGAGGAAATATAAGACAGTAAGTAAAAAATTACATATCACTGATATGATGATGTAGGAATATCTTTACGTTGTTGTATAATATATCCCTATATCATTCTCAGGACAATTGAACATTTCATTTTATTTATGGGCTGATATTTTGTGTGTTTAGTCTGTATCCCATCTTGACTAAGAGCTCTTTGAAGGCAGGTATTTTATTACATACTTGGGCTGAATACACGATAGAAATTTGGTAAATACTTGATTAAGTACTGCTCTTGCAACAGTACTTTTGCTTAGCAGAAACCTGGGATGGTGTCTTCAGAAAATCCAACATATAATCAGAGCAAGTTATAGTTGACAAAGAGGTAAATGTTAACAGACACAAATTCTACAAATTCGTGCAATGGTTAATCCAACTGACTTTCCCGGAAGGAATTCCCAGAAGATGCATGATTAGCAGAGTGTAGACTTTGCCCTAGAAAGTACAAAACAAAGGAGTTGTACACAACTCAGTTCAACTTTTTTTTTTCGGTTCAACTTTTTCTCAGCAATGTGAACAAGGGTCATGTGGCTTTGGCAGCAGGCTGGTGATGGTTTCATCACACAGGCAACATGATTTTAGTGGTGTCAATGCATTATCTCAAAACTACACTCGGTGGGCCAGAATATACCTGAATTATTAGGATCGACACCCAACAAGCATGGAATGAGACACTAACATTGTGTTAGGCTCTTTGTTTAAGTCTTATTGTTTTCTAATTGGGGAACTTGTACTATGAGGATATACCAAGACTTCCCCTTTGGTATTTGAGCACAGAGGGGTGTCAAGTTTAAATAAAATAACATCTGTGTTGGAAAGGGTTCAAATGTAAAGATCATTCTTTAGGAACTACTTGGCTGTTTAACAAAGGAGCATGTTCCATTTTACAAGTGTACATTCCCCGACCCAAAATTCACAGGTTGGGATGATGTCCTTGCTCCAGGGTGAAGCCAGCTAGCCGTGAGATCGAGCAGAGCTTGGTGTCTGGGCTAAAAACAATGAGGCTCCAAAGTCACACTAGGACGCTTCTCTCTCACGTGCCACTGCATGGACAATCTTTGGTCAGCTTCCTCTCAGGTTATCCCCTCAAGTTCTGGATTTGGAAATCCAGTCATTTGAGAGTTTCCCTGTGATAAAACTGACCCTCTATCAGAAGAGTGATGGCAGATACCTGTGGTCACAATCTTATCAGCTCTTTGGAACGAAATACTTACACATCACACCTTTCAGCTCTTTTCTGACAGGTTAACGAGGCTTAAAAAAAGAAAATCAAGTGCAATTTTCCAGTTTAAATAGTTTCACTCCAGGAGCTGACTTTTTATCTTGGGTTATTTACCTTTTGTGACAACAGAGCTGAAGGCACATAATTTTACATATCTTCATTTTACATAAAAGTCTTTTTTTTTCCTTTTATATTTGATTCTGCCTCGTAGGATTATGAACACTGTGAGTTGCTAAGTGAAAAATATTTTATAGATTAGAGTCAGGGAGTCATCCAATTTAGCACTGGATTTGTCAGATGAGGAAACAAGCCTATAAAAAAGCAGGAACTTAACTAAGGTCACTTAGTGAGTGACAGAAACAGAGAGATAAATATAATTTGAGTCTCCTGATTTTAAAACTATGTTTCTCAATCTTTTATTTTTTAACCCAAGACTACTTCTGATAACCATAAAAAATTCACCTTCTACGCCAGAGATTCTGGTACAGCCTCTCAGAGAGTCATCATTCTGTTGGGAAACATTGTTTTCTGAATAATGCCTTTTTTAATTGAACACTGATCCTTCAGATCAGCAGACATTGATTCTGCCAAGCACATAACAGAAGCTCAACATTTATATTTTAAAAGATAAGTACAAAAATATGAAGGCTTATGTCTGTAGGTAGCATGAGACTCAAAATAATACATCATATAGAACTTTAGAGTGCTTTCACTCTACCTTCTCATCTGATTCTCACAGCAAGTGAGGTATTGTTATTACATGCATTCCAGTTTTGCCCCTGAGAAAGTCAAGACACAAAGGATTTAAGTGACTTGCCCAAGGTCACAGCAGAACCCTGACTCTCACCCTAATTACTACTGTTTTCGTTACTTCCCTATATCCTCCTCTAAAAGCTGATAAGATTTTAAGGGTCTTCAGAATCTCCCCTCCCTATGCAGAAATATCTCACATCAGGTGCTAAAAAGCTTCCATTCCATTAAGGCAGTGAGCCACCCCATCTTCTCTTTAGAATGACTGGGCTGTTTCTTAAAATGTGCCTAGGCCCCTCCCCTAAAGGTTTTGATAAAATAGTCTGGATTGGGCTCAGGAATCTATTTTTTTTTTATTGCTAGAATGCTAGAATCAGGAGATGCTAAGGTGTATTTGCAGAAATTAGTAAGGTGTGTTTCCACTGTGGTAGAGAAAGTCTTTGTCTTTATTTTTCAAGGTCTCTTTTTCAGGCTTCCTCTAATTGCCACCGCTTTCTCTCTCAGGGAGTCATTGCCCAGTCTGGGTATTGTAGGGAGACCAAGGCGTCCACAAGAGGGTACTCACCATCCTCTTAGGCCTGTCCTTGGGGGCTGGTGGTGACCTCAAATAGCACAAGGTCACCCTTGTCCTCAATTAGTGGACAGTCATTCTTCTTGATGTTCAGGGAGATGGCCAACAGATGGCACTAACTCACCATGGCTTTCCCCTTGGAATCCATGGAGTGTCAGGGGGAATTATTCACAAAGCTAATTTGGAACTTTTGGTGTACCAAATATTGAAGACAGTGCTAGGAAATTGTTGTTTAGTATTTTCTGAAGGGCACAGATGTCAGGGGTGGAAGTACTGGCGTGTGGGTCCCAGCTGGGTCACTTACCACAAGTTACTCAACTTCATAAGCCCATTTTTTTTTGCTATAAATCGGAGTGCTCTTGACCTCTTAGGGTTAATGTGAGGAATAAATGTTTCTTTGACCCACAGTACAC